AGTGCACTTAAAGTTTGGCGTAGCCTACCCGGGTTTTGAGTCGGCCTACACATTAGGCGGTTGGCCCGGACCTACCTGGACCATTAAGTACGGGGTCGATACCATGGAGGCCACTTTCGATTTAGCCCGATCATTCGGGGTGAACTTTATTCAGGTGGCAACGTGGAATGACTATGGGGAGGGTACTATCATTGAGCCCACTAAGGAGCACGGGTATGAAATGTTGAAGGTTTTGCAACAGCGCCTGGAGGTTAAGTACACGGAGGCAGACCTACAGAAAGTTACGGATATCTATTTACACCGAAAGTTACATGCGAGTAACCAGACCATGCTTAATATACTGGAGACTAAGTTCATGAATTTGATTCATGGTTAAATCAAATGGGTTAAAATGTTATATTGTTATGCAGATATTTCTCAATACTTTACTATTTGTAAACTGTAAAGATTATTATAGATTACTATAATTAGTCTACAATTATGAAATAATAAAAACAAATAAATCCTATTCCGGTTATAAATTCTTATATAAATACAAAAGTTTATGATAAAAAGTTGTTATAGTTTTTGTTAATAATAAGATAGTATTGTACTATTTTAAATTGAATTCTCTGGCTATTTATATATGGAATGTATATATCAAATGTAAAGTGTACTACAATATTTATTAATTACAACTATATCAATTAAAAATTAAGTGGAAATGTAGATAAAAATTATCTAAAATTAAATGCCACTTACGATTAAAAATAACTTTCATATAAAATATTGAGTAAAAACTTTCTAAAAACACTTATAACGCAAACATTTGTTATTCAAACAATATGTCGGTAAAAATCATCGCAATAGTATCCGTGCTATGTATGGGCACCGTTAGCCTATCGCCAAACCCGCCCATCCATAAGGGCTGTGACCTACCGGTTGAGGTGCGGATAAACATGAATATAGGAACCAAAGAGGAATGCCTACAAGCGGGTGACTGTTGGAAACCTGAGCCAGGTTCACCAAACTGTTACTGGCCCCACAATGATACCTCGGTCAAGGTGTATGTCCATATGATGCCCTGGTTTGAGACCAAGGAGACTAACCCGGATCCCGATAGGATAGGCAAGTGGGGTCAGCACTGGTCCATGAAAAATATGGACCCGGATATAAAGGTAAATTAGTTACTTAAGCTATTTTTGACTAGCATATTTTGTGTTTTTATTATTTATATGTGGGGTTTGGTATGTATTGATAATTTATAAGATTTAATTTTTTGTTCAAAGTTGCCAAAAAACTATAGTATTATTTTAAAATATTATATTAATTGTTGTGAAATGTTTTTGTGTTTAGCCTGATAAGATTATGGTCTCATTAAATGTCAATTTAGTTATAGTGTTAACACAGTAAAAATACATTTCACTATAGTTGATACAATATTTTATATCTCCCCGCAGCATTTTTGATAAATTAACTTGTAAGTCAATTTTAAATATAAAATTAACTGGCCACAATCAATTTTTGTTAAAAATAATGCAGATATTAAACGTAAGGTGAGTTACGGCCAACTTATGGGTTCTGTATGTATATCTGTAATTACTGTATTCATTTAATACAAATTTACAGTGTGTACAATAACTGACAAAATAGTTTCATTTTAATCCATCATGAATTGCTAATTAATAAAACTATTTTATAAAATACAAATTTCATAACCAAAATAAAAGATCTATCTTTATTACATCTATTTAAAAATATATTACATTTATATTTAATAAAATATATTTTTTCTACTGATGGCAGCTTTATTATATTCATTTTAATCAAATTACGTCGAGTCTGTAATTAATGCTATAATTTATAACACATTTTGCATAATAAATAGCTGATATATTTTGTTTAGTTGTCTAATAGTGCCTAGTTTGTATATCACAAAATTATTGAATTTATAATAAAATAAATTTACAAAATATTTTTCGCAAATAAAGGACGCGTCCGGTAAACGCCAAATAGCCTCCCATTTCTACCCACTCATCGATCTGTACGCCTCGGGCGACACCCATGTCATCGACTGGCAGTTAGGGCTCATGAAGCTATCGGGGGTGACCGGGGTGTTGATCGACTGGCCCGGTACCGCTAAAGTGTGGGACTACACGGGAAACGCCGCCAATTGCGAGGCTATTGTTAAGGGATGTGAACGAGTGGGTCTGGACTACGCTATTGTCTACGAGGACCACAACCTCGGAATGGCCCGGGATGCTGGAAAGTTAAATGTCAGTATCATTGAGCAGGGTAAAGCCGACATGGCGTACCTGAGGGACAAACACATGGTTAACAAGAATTATATTCAACTGAATGGCGCACCACTTATACTGGATTTTGGACCACAAACACTACAAGGTCCCGATTGGGACCAGGTAGGTTTATGAATGTAAAATTGTATCTTTACTAATTTATTAATTCCTTATTTATTTAGTTTAAGTAACACTATTTTAAAAATAAATTATAATTTAAATAATTATAATTCCCATACAGTAAAATAAGAATTTATTTAATTACATAAAATTAGTACATGTAACTTATTATTGAGTTAACTTTAATTTCATGTTAATTTGTTTATTAATCTATTTGAAATTATATAACCCAAATTACTCGCACCCATAGGTATACTCTGTAATGCCAAAACCGCCCACATTCTTAACCCTATGGAATCAGATTGACCAAGGGGGAAAAATGGCAAAGGGCGAGTTTGCGTGGGTCTACCAAAACTACATGGACGGCCTTAAGAACTTCTACCACTTCCGTAGTCAAGTGCCCCTGAAGTTTGGCGTAGCCTACCCGGGCTTCGAGTCGGCATACTCTGAGGGTGGTTGGCCGGGACCTACCTGGTCCATCAAATACAGCACCGACACCATGGAAGCTACATTTGACTATGCACGAGCATACGGTGTTAATTATATTCAAGTTGCCACGTGGAATGACT